AGAGAGAGAGAGAGAGCTAAAGAAATAAGTTTTATATTTGAAATATCATTCCAAAGGTGGAACGGATAGCAATTTATGACGTGTAAGGATTCAAAGACAAAAAATACATCAGAGGTCTGGGAACCCCGCCCTATGAAAGCAGACTGTCAACCCTCAAACTCTTTCGCCCTTCCCACAGGCGACTCCGAGGGGTCCTCATTGTGACCTTCCGTGTTATGAACAGCCTGGATTGTTGCTTTTTCTCCAAATATTTCTTTGCCCAGGCTAGAACGCCCACTTCGCGCGATCATTCCCTTAAACTACGCCGCGGTAAAGCAAGGATCAGTGGACGAAAATTCTTCTTCAGTAACGGAGTGGTTGCAGCGTGGAACGACCTTCTCGAAGAGGTTACCCTCTCCATCTGTGCTAATTCATTTAAGAGCAAACTGGACATGGACCAAACATCACATTCTCCGGCCACTTGCTAAGCAAGGGCAGAAGTTACAGTATACTATTCGTTATAAGCGAGTAATCATGTTTTATTACTATTAAGACTAACCAACAACTGCTGTGTTTTCACTCGCAAGCATGTAATTGACGTACTTTTTTCAATTTTCCTTGGATCTATATATTTCCTATCATCTTGTTACCAATAGGGAGTTCAAAGGCGTTCGCCTATCTTCCCCTCAATAAACTGATACTCATCGCTGACAAGAAAAGTCTAATAGTGAGCTGAAAGGCAGCCCCCAGTAAGATTTCAGAATACCTACGACACTGGTTTACTGGTGACTACTGAAAAAGAGAACTTAGTGTAACTGAATCAACAAAAGGAGACGAGTGAACACCTGAGAAACCGTGATTCCACACTTCTTTGCCAGCTCCTCCTTGGCCTCCTCCGAGGGGTAGGGGTTGGCGAGGTGAGAGTAGAAATACTCGTTCAGCACTTCAGTTGCTTCCTTGCTGAAATTGCGACGCTTTCGTCTAGAGGAAAAAGGAGCACATATAAGGGTGATGCAATCAAACAGGCAACGTGCAATTCAGTTTTAATAGCCAATTTTATCGCCAAATCGATGGTGTAGCTATGGGATCACCGCTTGGAGCTCTATTAGTTGATGCCTTCATGAGCAAACTGGATGACAACGAACTCTCCCCTATTATAAAGGACTTTCCTTCCTATGCTCGATATGTGGACGATATTTTTGTAATAGCAGATGGAAAACTTCAGCTGGACAATTTCCTAGACAGAGTGAATCAGGTGCACTTAGCGTTAACCTTCACTTTAGAAAAAAAAGAGGACAGACAGTGCGCTCCCTTTCTAGACGTCCTTCTTAGATCTGATGGAACAGTAAGTAGAAGTGCATTTCGCAAGAAAACATAGACAGGGCAATATTCGAATTTCTACAGTTTCGTCCCAATAAGTCAGAAACGAAGCCTAGTCCGCTGCCTCAGTAACCACCCTAAAGTCGCGAAAAACCTACCCAGCCAGGTTCTAGTACAATTTGCTTTGACCATCTGAACGGAAGCGGTCAAAGCGGACCGAAATATACAGATCCGACTTCTCAGGACTAAACAGGATGTGAAGCGGGTCTTCGGAAAGTCGCACTCAAAGGTTGAACAAAAGCGGTCTTGCAATTAACCACTTGTATACCATTAAGCTTAGGAAGCCACCATTAAGGCTGCTGTCAAAATGTAAACCGGCAGACAAAGTTCAGGTCTTTAAACGAGCGAATACGTAGGTATGATAGGCCATGAGGGTCCTCTACTGAAACACGATCTAGTTAGGGACGTACACAGAGATAAAAATAATTATTTCAAGTACAAAGAACATTGCTCTGAGGTGTGTCTACATATGTTAGGAGAGGTTTGGAAACAACAGTAATGCTAAAGGTATAGATTGATTATTGACAACGAAAAGAGACTGAAATGACCGCTTCGGAGTTATTTATCGTCAACAATAAGCCACATCTCAACCCCAGGGTTTGAAAATTAAGAATGAAATAATACAGTTAGGTAAACAAAGTCAATGCCCGCGATTGGATGCCATGTGAGGACCTAGTCGACATGCGGGCAGGCTCTGTTTCCCTACCTAGGGACAGTTTCACACAAGTAACACCAAAGGTGGGTGAAAGTTTGCAACTACTTGAAACAATTAATCATTTAGTCACCTTCCTCTAGACAGCAGCGCTCTGAACGAATAAGGCTAGATGAAGTCACTCGTTTCAAAGCCAGATGCCCGTAAAAGTGCTGCAAACACACCGGCAAGTGTCACGTTGCGTAAATCTCACAGTTACTTAGAGGTTGTAGTGATAGGATAATCGGTTATTTTTTAAAGGAGGACTCTTTCAATATGCGCGTAATGTGATAGTGGCCAAGTCTGTAACAGACTGGCATTGAAGTGACATCAATCAAGTCGGTCTGGTCGTAGGATGTGGTACAGGTGAGTCCGTTGTGCACTGCATCAAAACAGGGCGTCTCTGGTACTCGCGAGGTCTTATGACCGATTTATTAGCATAAAACAGACAGACTTTGGCTGAACTAATGGTCGGCAGCCCGTGGCCCCTCGATTCAAGCTGGAGACCAGCTGCTTGAACTGGCGTCGAGTAAGGGAAACGGTGAACCCATTAAGCAAATTAGATTCCGGGTATATACGACGAGCATGCTTATCTGCTTCGCATCTGTGAAATCTACCGCGAATTGAGAAAAGGGAATGTTTTCGAGTCATTTTGTACAAACAGTATGCCTTGAAGTCTAACAGTTGAAAAGAAAAGCATTTTTACTTTAAGAAAACAATTATCTTAAAACTTATCGGAGGTTCCTGTATAAATATAAATCTTATCTCCCAGGGTTTTATGAACACAACGACACAGATTATAATATGAGTTTAGGGAGGTTCCTTCACAATCCCCAGATAACACTAAGGTTGAACAGTTTGCACGTGTGAAGAATGATGGATCTTGACGATATACCAAAATTGCAAACAGTCAAGAGGTATTTTAATACTTGTACGTATTACGACTGTGATCATGACAGATCTAGCCGGCCTCAATTATGTCCCGTATGGTGCTTCTACACGCGCGACGA